ACCATCACGTATTTTATGTATGTATTCAGTGTGCATATTTAATTTGTGTATATTTAATGTAAATTATATACAGAAGTTATACGCATACGTGATTTTAATTAGGTATACCTTTCACACGTATAACCGTGATTTTATATACGTACACCTTAATTTACTTATGGACAATGTTGTAATGTTTGTTCAATAATTTTCAAAAAACACTAACATAATTTTTGGAATAAAATATACTATAATTACGAAATTTTCAATAAAATTAAAAAACAAAACATTTCTATTGGTATAAAACATGATACTGTATCTTTACTATTGAATATTGAGTTAATGTATTTTAAAGCCTTGTGATTTACTCCATTTTTATCCTTCAATTATATATAAATAATTATCATATAAATCGTTACATTGTATACTCGTTCGTTCAATAATTGCGAGGTTTTCGGAAAGGAGAGAGTCATTGTACCTTATAAAATAATTTAATGCACCGTGTATAGTTTCAAAATTACATAATTTATATTTGCACTATAAAAAATAATAGATAGGATAATTAATTTCATTGTTTGATCAACGGAGTGACGTATTTACTTTATGATCTAAATACTTTTATTCTAAGAGCGTTTATAAAAATACGAGGGTGGTTATCCGACGAAATCGGTATTAGCGTTGGTAGCGTTAATACACGAACCGCTTGGACATCGAAAAATTAGCGCGCGCTCAAGACTGTTCACTTTTGACCGAAAACTCACGAGATGAGAGGTTAGAGGTATGCGCGTCGTACGATTGCAAATCAGTTGATTCCTCGTCTGTTTCTGGCACCACGACAAAATGGGTCCGCGCGTGTTTTTATTACGATTTCATTGACTTGGTTTTGTAAGTATTACACCCTACGCTCGTGTAGGTACTGCACATAGGCGCATCACTATTATTCCAGTTGATAAACCACTCGCGAACATACGTATACACGTATACGTACCGCGGGATGTGTGTTGTATATTTATATAATGCACGTTATACACGTACAATAAAACGCGCACACACGAACAACGTTTATTACACAGACACGCTTACACTTACAGGGTGACACGGTTGTTCAATGGTCCGTGGAGTGTGTGCTCGTGTAAGTACGCGTGTGTGTTGAAGGGCAGATGTTTAATCCTCTCGCGCTGTCGGCAACAGCGGCGGCGGCGGCGGCGGCGGCGGCGGTGGTGGTGCGGTATCGGCAGTGTCCTCGCGTCGTCGGCATAATGAATGGACCCCGCCGGAGCCACAACGGCAGCGACTTTGCGGCTGCCGCGGTCGCCGCCGACGCCGCCGCCACCGTCACGTCTACAGTGCAACGAGAGGA